CCCTGTACTAGAGCTGTATTTCCATCTCATCCATCTAAGTTGGAGGGAAAAGACTATTTTTATACTTGTAAGTTGTAGGGAAGGGGTCTTAGCCATGAAGTCTATCATTAAATCTAGCATCAATGGCCATCAACTCTAGCCATTAGGACTAAAGTTACAAAGGTACAAAACTCCCATGTGTATAATATGATCATCAACTCCATCATCAAAAGAGTGGTCAACAACACAACATGTATCAGAGTAGGCAGGCAACAGATCTTGTGTTTAAACCTCACCACCTATCCGATAATTAAAATGGATCCCATGTTCAAACCTCACCTTCTCCCTGACAATTAAAATACCTCACTATGGAGGACTGACCACATGCGAGGGAGCGTGTTGAGGATATAAATAATAATTGGCCCGTTTGGCATAACTTCTAACAAACTAAAGCTAATAATAAAAAAACTAAAACCACCTCTATCCTACTTTTTTTATTTTAGGGGAACTTACTGATAAGTCTCATGTACCAAGTTCAAAACCCAGCTAATCCCAAAACAAAATACTTGCACCAATTAGTCCAATACATTTTTAATTGTTACCAAAAAATCCTTTTTTTTTTTTTATAATTTACAGACACTGTTCACATCTTACTACCGTAGGACTTCCGTCAAACGGTCGCCGGAGACTCGTCGGAATGTTCAACATCGCCGGGAAGTCGCCGGAGTTTCGCCGGAAGTTCTCCAGAGTGTTAAGAACGTTAATGGAAGTCGCCAGAATGTTCAGAACGTTCACTGGACGTTAAGAATATCACTGGAGACTCACCGGAATGTCTACAATATTGCCGGAAAAAAAAAGAATAAATGGATAAATTATAGCAAAAAAAAATAGCAAAATGTGCTAAATATTGATAAACTAAAAGGAAAAAAAATGAAACGACAAAAAACAGCAACAATGGGGAAAACATATGTTATTTTTCAATTTTTGTAAGGTTCAAGCAAATAATCTCTAAATAGTGATCAAACTGAAAAGTAAGTTTTGAAACTGTAAAATGTTACAGTTTCAAAACAAAAATCTATTAAGCATTTATCCTTATTAATCAAATTGAAAAACAGGTTATGAAACTGTAAAATTTTACAGTTTTATACCATGATTTATTCCAGCACCAAAAAAATTTGAAACTGCAAAATTTTACAGTTTTCACTGCCTGTAACTAAAACTCGAAAACTACTTGTTCAGAATTCGAAAATTTTCTCCATTAGAACAGAAAAACAGAAGTGTATAGCAGAGAAAAAAAAAAAAAGAGATCGAAGGAGAAAGGCGCATGTAGAGAGAGGATTGTACTCCGGCAACTATTTTTTGTTTAGATCTAGCCAAATCTGATGTAGATCTACTCAGATCTGATGATCTGAGTAGATTTACATCAGATCTAAGTACATCCACTCATCTTCTTCGTCGGAAATATATCATTTTCTTCGTCGGAAATATATTATCTTCGTTGTCGGTGAGAGTGAAGTCACGAGTTGATTTCGATGGTTGGCGGTTATCAGTGAACCCCGATTAATGGAGAAAGACATGATCACCGGTTGTCGTCCATGACAAAGACGATGAGAGAAAAATGTAGAAAAAAAAAAACGAGAGAGGAAGGGAAGCAAAAAAGAGAGAGAGAGGAAATGACTTTTGGGTGTACTCAAAAAGTTATGGGATTAAATGGTGTCCACATGTTCCACATGGGACCTGTGGGTAATTTCCCCAAAACATATGCACAAGACCAGTCTAATCCAGCATAGCAGAATCTGGCCCATGCCCAAGACTAAGTACAACACAGGCACATATACAAGCTTAGGCCGATCCAGACCAAGACTAAGTCCAAGTTCAAGTCCAAGCCTAAGCCCAAACCCAAGCCCAACTTCTATTGATACCTACTTTATGAAACAATTCTCAGTTACAACTTAATAGTTTCGGCTCATCGTTTCTATATTGCACTTCTCACTTAAGAGAATATAAAACCACCTTGACCTACCTCAATCGACGGTTAGATTTTACTTTAATTTTGAATTAAAATTACTGAAAAATCATTATTTTCTAACAATAATCACCATCATGTTCTCTCTCTATGGTTGACGAGGCGCACACATGTTGCAAATCATGCTGTGTAATTATAATCTGAAAATGTTATATGTATCAAATTTTCTATCAAATAAATGATCAAATGTCTCACATAGATGTGGGGTAGTATAGACCCCACACTCATATAAAACATTTGATCATTTATTTAATAGAAAATTTGATATCCCTAACCTTACCCATTACAATTACTCCAAAATAGCCAGGTCATCTAGCACATGACTAACTAAATTTGGATCCCCTGTAGTGCTTTAAAATAATAAAATAAATTTAAAAATGTTGTTTTTAATTTTGTTCTTCTAGTTTAAATTTCAACTCTTGATTTATTTTTTGATGTGGCACATTGAGGGATTCTATTCAAAAAATCATTAAATATGTTTATTTTTTCAATACACTCCATTAAATTATTTAGAATTATAGTTTATTTTTAATGCACCATATATATATATATATATATATTCAGATTACTTTTCAAAATACATCTAAATAATAAACAAGTCAAAACCTTTAATTTCACACACAAACTCAATTTGTAAGATCAAATTATTTTTAATGCACCATATATATATATATATATATATATTCAGATTACTTTTCAAAATACATCTAAATAATAAACAAGTCAAAAACTTTAATTTCACACACAAACTCAATTTATAAGATCAAAATCAGGGTTCATAATGAGTTGTTGCTCCTAAATGTTGGAGTGAAATTTTTCTATCCACTTATTTGAATCCCCCAGGCCATTAACCCTGCGTGAGGCCTGCCTCATTCACATGCCTCCTTATGGTTGGAAGTTTGAGAAACAAAATTTGGGTGGAGATTGATTTCCTTATAATAACCGAAATGTGAAGTCGGGTCTGTAGTGAATGAACACCATAGGTTTCATTGATTTTATTTTATTTTATTTTTTTAATATACAAATCAAACCCACCAAAACGGTGGGTTTTCTCACTGCAAGGTATTGTGACAGCACTCACCCCAAACTTATTAATATTGATGATAATAGTGAATTTTGATGTGGTGGATTGAAATTTTGAAGTGTCTAACGGATTAATATAGATGACAATATCAGTGGGCTATTTTTTGTGGAGAAGTTTTGGAATGAGAAAAAAGATAAAGCAAAAATAATTGAAACTTTTAAGAAGATGAAAAGAGTTGAATATGAAATATATTTTATTTTAAGATTTAATGTGTATTGTCCTTCTTATTCATCCAAAAAAAGTGTATTGTCTTTATTAATAAATTTATATTAAAATATAATATGAACCAAAATTTTAAAATTTTAATTGAATGTACTGAGTTATTATTTGAGTACAAACAGAATCGTCCAGCGCATTATCATTCAAAACATTATAGATTGCACTACAGAACTACAGAAGGTGCTCTACTACAGAAAATCCATTTTAATTATTATTGCTTGATATAGAATTTGTTTGACTAACTAAAAGCAGTATAGGTGCTAGACCAATAGACTAAAACTAAAAACCACAATTAAGGACCAAAAAGCAAAGTCAAGGAATATTTGAGCATAGACCGAAACTCAAGCACACAATTGAGTATGAAAATAACAACACTATAAATCCTTCTTTGTCAACCCAAAATTTACTTAGAAAAAAAATCATTGGTTCAAATTCATTTTATTTATAGATTCCACATCTCATTAATTTAATCTCCATAACACAAACACATTTAAAATAAATTATGGATTCATAAGAATAGATTCATAGCATTTTTTAAGATGAAAAAGCAGAAGTCAAGAATATTTGTGTCTAGAAAGTATGTGAATAGGTCAAATTTTAAAATTTATTTAATTTATCTCAATGATTCATTCAATGCCCATGAAATATAAGATGTGGCATATAATGTGAAAATTAATCAGGAAAACTTTTCAAGGGAGAAAAAATCACGGTCTCAACTTTCAAGGAAAAATTTATTAAAAAAGTGTAGTAAGACACAAGCGGAGGACTTACAATCAAACCTTGGCTAACATGTCTATGGTGTCTTGAAGATGATTTACAAGAAAGAAAGGAGGGTAGACTGCGCATGGTATTTCTCCACCGGGTCTCTTTGATGTACATTCTTGTCTTAATAATTAAATGAAATCCCTTCTCTGAATCGTTTGTAAAATGCAAATTTTTATGTAGGCAATTGATTCCCACTTTGCCCTTATTGTTGCTTTGCTTATTGGAGGTTGAAAAGGTGATACGAACCCCTTGATAGAACTTACCCTTGAAAAGCGATTTATAAAGAGAGGATGCCCAAAATGCTTATATGCACATGGTCAAGACCTATGCCAATCAATGCAGGATTGTAACACAGGGCTCCAACATAGAGGTTGGTAATCAGTTGCCAATCAATATCTATCAATCACCATAAGCTGTTTTCAAAACAACCAAAAAGGACAAGTGAGACCACCTCAAGCAATCGATTGCAGTATTTAGAGCAATCAATTGCCAAAGATTGGGCTCGATCGCTAGGCACCGGCTTTTGAAAAACAACTAAGCTATGCTCCCAATGAAAAAGCAAGAAAAAGAAAAATAAAGAAAGAAAGAAAGAGAGCTTTCAAAACCAAAATTCAATGACCTAAAATGCACTTTACGGTGAATGCATGTGTATACATGATCAGGTAAGGGAGCATTGCTTGATGTTGGTGTAGTTAGCTGTCTGAGATTTTCATCTTAATCACTCGCAAAAGATGCATTCCAAAGTTTTATAATAAAACCTATGATTTGTGAATGCATGTACGATTATATGTCGAATTCCTAATTTGATCCATAATTGAGTCTGATACCTTCCAAAATAGAGTTAAATGATGATATCTGCATTGTTCAATTAATAGTCTGTTGTATGATGATCAACAAATGTGAAGAAATATAGAGAAGACAGTGAAAGGAGCCAAATCCGAAAATATTATAAAGACAACTAGTATTCGAATCACAATGCACGAAAAAAAAGTTAAAAACTCCTAGGGTAATGATAACAGTAAAATATTCTACAGGAAGACCGAGGCAGACGAAGCCTGCCTAACGCACTAATTAAACCACAACACGAGAACAAACCCCCCATCGGAAATCGACATGCCGTTACTAATAAATTGTAATATGTTTACAGACAGACAAACAAACAAACAAAGGGAAGTGAGATGTGTCGATCGGAGTTTTTAATGGCCAAACGCGCTCACTGGTCAGTAACGAACCTCATAATGCATAATCAGCGGAGGCTCTCTTTAAAAAACTATCCAGCCAGAGTTACATTGATATCAGTTGGCTTATTCCTCGAGTCTGGAGGCAATGAAGGCCAGTTATTTCCATGGAATGAAGGAGCCGAGAGATTTGGCTTTGGTGTCGTAGAAGTGTGTGGCCCTTGCCAACCGTATGACTCTTCCATCTGTGTGCTAGAAATCGGGATGGCAGCCGTTGGTGTGGCAGTAGTTGTTATGGACTCTGTTTTCTGTTTCTTGGGCTTTTGTTCATGCTGGTTCCCGGCTAGAAAACTGCCTACAACAATCTGATTCATAATATAGAGGAAAAAATATCACAGTTCATGCAAAGCTCACAACTCAAAAAGGGATGTATTCCTCGATTAGCAGCTTAGAAGAAAGAACATACCTGCACAGGGCTGGCTGCTACTAACAAACCAGCAACTCCGCCCCCCATAACTCGTCCATCTGGGCTGGCTAAAGAGACACTCATGCCACCTGATCTGTTCCTTATTCCTCCAGTCTCAGCTGGCATGAATGACCCACTCAAGGAGAGTATCTCAAAACGGCCCTGAAAGAACAACAGTAGAAAGAGATGGCATTAGAGTCAATGATGAATAATAGAATATAAGAACGAGTGACAAACAACATAGTACCACAATCTCCTATTGGGACCGAAATGGGATGGAACTGATCAGAGCCGGGATGGGTTTGGAAATGTTAACCCAAATTGAGTTTGGGATGAGTACGGGGTTTAGCCAACCTGCCTTGAATCCGCCCCATGTCATCTGTTCTCAAATCCCCCAAACTATTTCTAAGATATTTGGCATGTCTTTTCTAATATATAGGGCATGTTTGATTGGACGGATTAGAGTATGAGATTGAGATTATTAATCTGTGGGCCCAATTATTCTATGTTTATTTTAACATTTTGATTTAGGATTATTAATCCAATAGATAATTAATCTAACAAATTTGTAAGATTATTAGTAATGGGATAGGAGTGAGATTATTAATCCAATGGATGTTAATCTAATTGGATAGTGAATACCACGCTAATTTAATAGAATTATTAATACTTCACTATTAATTTTGTGAATCAAACATAACCATAGAGGTGTAATATCTAGCGAGCAATGGCTAAACTGATACGTAGTTTTGATGTTTAACTCAACAACAACTGTGCCAGAGTGTGAAAATTTTAAATCAACAATAGTTGCCAGTATGAGTTTTTAAAGATGAGAAGAGAAGACTATTTTGATGTTTGTTATATCACATATTGAAACTAGCTGGATCCCAATCAAGAAAAATACAACGAATTTTTTTATCCTGATTATCAATATAACATCCATAAAACAACAAAAAGAAAAAAGAACAAAGAAAAAAAAGAAAAGAAAAAAGAAAAAAAAAGAAAAAAGAAAAAAAAAGGCAATTGCTAGGTGAGATTCAAAAACCCTAAATTGCCTTGAAGCCAAATGGTTTCCTATTGCACTCACAAGATTGCCTCTTTGTAACGTGCTTTCAACGTAACTCCGTAGATTTTGGATCCTTATACTATCTGGATTGGTTTGATTGAAGTAGGGATCAGTTAGGCTTATCCAATACAGTATTAAGGATAATATTATAAAACAAAGGTACATCAAGATCTGGTTGCCAGCTTTCTAGGAAAGGTTCAAAAAAATAAAGAGAATGGGAAAAAGACGCAATAAACTCAAGGAATCTCTTGTAGGTAATCTTGGGCATAACACCTAGAGTTAGAGGTTCATCATAAAATTCCAGAAAAGCTTCAAAGCACAAATTTCTCTAAAGCGACCTCAATTGAATTTGGAAAAGTATATAGCCATATAAGGGTTTTAGGAAAACTCTCCTTTCAAGTAGAAAATTGAGGCTTTGAGCTCTACAACCCATCTAAACACAGTAAAGCCATCATTATATAAAGATCCAAAAACATATCTTGACAGACCAATGAACCATTAATACAGCTCATATCCAGCGAAATTTAAAATCACTAAAATACCCTGGACATGGTTAAACATAAGAAAATACACACACACAAAATGTTGACAAGCATAGTAGTAATCTAAATAACCATTTCAGGCACTTTTGGAAGTAAAACTTTAATATGTAAATACTATTAACAAGGCACCAAGGGGATTCAAATTATATACAATTATAGAGAAAAAAATGGCAAAACCCTCCTAAACAATGTTCAGATAGGCTCCACCTTTGAATTGTACCGATTTCAAAAGTTTCATTCTTTCAATTTGCCCTTTCCTGAGCCTGGTATTGCTTGAAAACATCTAGTAATTAAATTAAAGTTACACTTACAGAATAGTAACAATTATACCCAATAAAGATGTAGATAAGGCGCGTAACACTGATACATATTTTTAACACCAAATATGGATTGCACAACCTATAAAAGGAAGGTTATAAATGTTGATTTAGACAGCACCAATTATACTCAACAAAGCCTTAATATTAATGCCCACTGCTTGGGGTGGCTACATGATCTTTTAGTTTTCAAAAGGCTCTATATAGGACCATATTTGATTGGGGAGAGAGAGGCAGCACCAATTATACTCGACAAACCCTTAATATTAATACCCACTGCTTGGGGTGGCTACATGATCTTTTAGTTTTCAAAAGGCTCTATTTAGGACCATATTTGATTGGGGGGAGAGAGAGAGAGAGAGAGAAGTAAGCAAGAAGATTGACTGCTATGTCAATATAGCTGATTGGGTTGTGCAAATTTCAGGCAAATTCAATTTCATAATACTTAGGATCATCCACTAGAAAGTTAAGAATTCTTCAAAAATGAATTCATATAGAAGTAACCAAGAAGATTGACTATTTCGTGAAAGAGAAGATTAGATGCAAAACCTCATATGTCAATGTACCACCAGAAGAATCAGGCTGACGAAGTGTGACACTTGAAATTACACCATTTGCAGAAAGAATGCATATTGCCCGAGGCCCTTGTTGAGAAAATGATATGACCTTCATGGTAACATCCTAAAAAGCCATAAAGAAAATCACTAATGCATAAATTCAAATTTAACTTCTTGAATATAAGAATCATGGTAATAGAAGTTCTCCAAAAGAAGTTAAAGATCATGATCATGCATTCCTCTTCTTTTGACAAACAAAGATCTCTGGGCACGTGATTAACTTTCAAAGCAATATGCTATCAATCAACGCAACAAACAGATCAAGTTCACTTCGAGTATACCTTCCATTTGCAAATTACAAAGTTAAACATGACATTTAAAGTTCCATAAAAAAAAAACAATGGGACCAAAATATTTGACAATTATAGTAGGCAGCGTGAGAAATGGTAGTCATAATAAGTCATGGACCATGTTGCATATCTTTTTAACACATTTTATCTTTAACAATATATATACAGATTTTTTAAAATGTCTATTCAGACCTTATATAAACACAGGATACAGTATTATCTTCAAACAAACCACCAATTGTGCTAACATTTACCTCTCCAGCATTGACGGTGATTATATGGGGCGTGAAATTAGCACCAACAGAGCATGAAACCCATTCACCTACAGAGAAACATTGACTTCAGAAATAACAACATGAAACTTACGCTCTTAGCAACAAACTTATGGATTTTCCAATTTAAATAACAGAGACATACAAAACGAAGTAGTAGAGTAATTTTGGAGTCTGATGAAATTTTATGTTACCCCATAAGGCTTCTATATTCCATATATTTAACGAACAGGAAAACCTGGCCTACAGACCTAAATTATCATAAAACAACACAACAACTAAATAAACACATAAACCATCAAACCTTATAATAATTCAAGTATTAGGGCAGTCATATTATCATATACTAAATCCTGGGGTAATAAACAGTCATAGATACACATTTAGCAATTAAAACAAAGGGCAAAAACTAAGTGACCAGAATGTGGAGCAAGAGTGAAAACAGCTCATTTGAAATTTCCTAGGGTTGGAAGGGTGTATTTATTTTTGCATGAAAGATATATTAAAGATTGCATTATGTAACGTATAAATATTATTATTTTAGTTTATTATTATTAAATATGTTGAGCTCAGAAGCACAAACATGGATACTGCGTGCGGCGATCTTCAAAAAATTAGGATATGAACACGTGGGGATATGAAAAACATATTTATATTTTACATATTTTTATTTATTAATTTTTACTCGCAAACCACCAAAAAAATGAAAAACTAACGTTCACTAATTCATCAACATGAAAAAGCCAATCAATATATAAAAATCATTCAACATACAAAATACTATTCCATTAATCATAAACCATTACATCACAAATGTTAAAAGCATTGAAGTTTATAATGAATGGATCATCCATAAAGAGAAAACAAATCTCCATTTTGTTTAAGAAATAATAATACGGTGTTAATAATTAACCAAATATGCACAAAAATTTCTACAAGAATAGAATCAACATAATTGAAAGCCAATAATAGGGACACTAGCAAGATGAGATGTGCAATTGATTTTTTCAAAAATATACACTCTTTGCCCCTCTCAAATGAATTTTATCGCACTAATTAGAGACATCGAAGATTATGAGAATCCCAATAGTAAACAAATGATACCGGAGAGGATAAATCAAATGTCAAAATCACAGATGCTAATGCTCTCCAGTGAGGCTTTGCCAAGTGTAGCTGGCAAATTGCCTAACATTGATTTTCCGGAATCCTACCCACTTGGTAGAAAGAATCAAAAACAAAATGTCAATACGATGAATATCTTACAAAATGACAATATGATGAACATCCGTTAAATTTACTCGTTTTCCAAGAGAACAAAATACTACATGACATCAGGTCCAAACAAACATCTAAAAAAACAGTTAAACAACTTTCCCCTCTTCGCAGCAGAACAAGAATGGCACATTCCATAGTTTTGGTTCTTTTACTCCTCTTGTTATGATCTCCTAAAAAGGTAAGAAGTACTAAAAGACAGCCCATATAAATGAATATTCCTCATTCCCACACCAAACCACAAATCCCAACTTGCTTTCAGAGCTAACACACTTGCATCAGGATACAATTTGGGGTATCTAATCACAGGTCCCACATCAAAACCAGCATTATATGCCATAGAAAAAGTCTAGAAACACATAGTTCTGTACAAAATAGAAGAACTGTAGGCCATAAACCTGATTACCCCACACTTAAAATTCTAACACTTGACATCAATTCCGCCGCCAAATCAAATCAAGTAAAACCCAAATTCGCACATGTTCAAAACACCAACTATCATTATGCATAACAAAACACTTCATTCATCTTCAACAATACAAACACAACACAAAGCAATTAACTTTACAAGGGCATGAAATGAAATGTATTTTCAATACCTAAATTCTCCATCTCCATCTTGTGCTGCTGTTGCTTGCTAGCCGACCCCGCCGGCCGGACTTTTCCCCGCTTTTCGGACGAAAAATCGATCACCGGAGACGGCGCCGAAGACGAAATTGGCTTCGGAGAAAGCGCCATAGTGACTGTCCCATCTGGGCCGTACTTCCTTGGCCGACCCCTCTTCTTCTTCACCGTCAGTGGGAACCCCGCCGCCGCAGACGGCGGCGATACGCCCACTGCGGAAGCCGGAGCTGATCCAGTGACCTGGCTAGGGTTTTCTGTCCTAGGAGCCACATGGTAGTCCGATGGAGCATCTGATCCCACCACTGTAACCCCACTACTGCTAATAACTTCCCTTCCTTCCATACCCAAGACCGTTTAAAAAAAAATTAAAAATTAAATTTTTTAAAAAAAAATTCTAGGATTTCCTCAACAAAAACCCATCATTTTACTCAAACCCAAACACACGAAAACTCCTTAAATTCCTCCAAAAAGAATTTTTTTTTTCTTGTTTTTTGGAAAAAAAGAAAAAAGAAAAAAGAAAAAGAAAAACACAACTCAAAACCCAGAAAAGAAAATAAAGAAAAATTTGAAGCTTGAGAAGCTTCTTAGAACAAAAAGAGTAAAGTAGATTCAATCTAAAACAGAACTGAAACTATTCATTTTCAAATTTGTTGCTATTAGCAGAGTAAAACAGAGAAAGGGCTTTAATGGTGATAACTTTTTTTTCAAGAAAAAAAAAATTACTCTATTTTTGGGAATAGAGAGAGATTGAGAAGAAAAGGCTGAATTTTTCTTGCTCTGTTCTGAGAAATTGGGAAAAAATAGGTTTTGGAGTTAATTTGGGTTCTAACTTTCCTCAGATTGTCCGAATTGTGATTAAAAAAGTAATAGAAGTAGAAAAAGAAATGAAATTAAAATATTGGGTGTGATTTAAAAAATCAAAATTATTAATTGTTAAAGCAAAGGAATTATGTAATTTGGTTAAGAAATGAGTGGAGTCCGGAAGGAGAAAATAAATATTAAAAAATATTATTGTAGTTGGGAAAAGTAAAATTAGGTTGCCAAGCCATGAAGACAACCATTCATTTTTTATTAAAAATATAACTTTTTAATATAATATAATTGTGTACATATCTCTTATTAAATGTATATATATATATAGTTTTTAGATAGACATCTTTTTATTTTTTTCCTTTTCTTCTCCTTTTGATGCTTATACTTTGTTTTTATCATGTGGAGACAAGCATATGAAAAGAAGTGAAAAGGAAAAGATTGAAAAAAATAATAATAATAATAATAATTTTGCAATTTTCATATATATATATACATTTTTCTTTTTCTTTTGTTTTTTTCAACAATGACATTGTTAAACACACCAAAAAGAGGATGGAATGGATAACATGGAATGCACTTTTCTACAAATTTACAGTTGGGTCTTTCACTTCCTACAAGCACTTTTCAGATTGAAATTGGTATATTTTTTTAACTTTAATACAAAATATTGTTTTTAAAGAAAGGAAAAACTTGTGTGATGTTCAAGCTCAATGATAGAAAATAATGTGAGAAACGAAGGAAAATCACATGGCAAAAGAAAAAGATATGACTTAAAAGTAAAGTATAATCATCTAACTTCTATAAAATGCAAGTCATAAAAGCATAGAGCTAACAGTACAAATATTTAGCAACCACTTAGGAAATATGACTAGGAAAAATTGAGTAGTGTTGGAATCTTTTACTTAGGTAATTATTAATTAACAGTCTTCATTAGTCAAGATTAAAAATCTCTATATCTTCTTAGGAAGTCAACATTTAACACTTTTTTCTTTTAATGTGTGGATTTTCTCTTATATTTCTTTCAAGATCTCTGCATTTTATTAAAAAGTCATTGTTTAACACGTTTTTATTATGTTTAGGTATTACATGCTATTTGTTCGGAGATATTTCTTGTATATGTTTGACATAATGTGTTACTAAATTTTTTTACAAAGTTGAGTGTCCACTTTGATGTAATTTTCATAATAATATTTGTCAATTAACCAATGACTAATTAATGTTAGTTAAGTCATGTAACTTGTTGAAGTGAAAGGTTTATTGGCTAGTCATATAAATTTGGTGTTTACACAGTTTTTCACTAGTCAATCAAGACTCAAGTATGTACAAATATATAATAACTTTACTACCAAGGGTAAAAATCAAATAGTTTTCCTTCACATAATTCATTTTGTGCCATAACACAGAGTATACTTCTTTTTTCTCACCTTTCTTTTATAAGGCTTGGTATTTAAGACCCACCTTAACATCATTCCATCCTTTCACCACCTAGCTACCTTCCAAGTTCCAAGGATAGTCATGTACACTCAAACTTTGAATGTGTTACTTTTCAATCTAATACTTATAAAGCTTAGAGATAAAGAAAATTATTGCTCTCAAAGCACTAATCTTGGTTGCTACTAAGATGATAATATATGACTTAAAAAGTTACAATGTTTTTTGTTATAATTTATAACTGTTACCATCGAGTTCATTTGCTTTACTTACATTTACAAAAATTGTTAATAAGAGTAATAAACGTTACACTTGATATGGTTCAAAGTTATTGCGATGACACAAATAAGTCATCTGGTCATGGCAGTGAGCTATTTGATATTTTATCACGTTATTTGAATATCATAGATTTGTATCATTATCAAACCATTGCAAAATATTGTGATTTGTCACTAAATATCGGGGAAGAAATAAAACTATTTGATTTTAAATTTTTTTTTGCAAAAAAAAAAAACATTATTATTATTATTATTGTTGTTGTTTAAAATTGTTGTTGTTTAAGCAATATGTTATAGAAATTAGAAGTTATCACACCTCAGATTGGGATGGAAATAAAATTATATTAAGTCTCCAGGGCCACAAGCATTGACCAAGGGAATGCAGCCAAATAAAAAGGAAAGTATATAATACCTGCAAAGAGTCGAGGTGTGGTTTCATTTAAATTACCAAGAAAACAAAAATCTAAAACATAATAAATAAAATAAAAAAAGCCTAGATAAGAACAAAATGAGTTTTGTAAGCATTTGATAAAAATATGTTGATGATTTCAACCCAACAATTAGGTTCAACATTTTTCCCTCCTTACAATAACCTCTAGATGTAACTCCATCTATTTATTTATTTATTTATTGGGTTGTTGAACCTATATATTTGTATTGTCTTAGTGAGCTATTCTAAAAATAGAGAAATTAATACTATTTGGTGAAATTGATTTGTTTCAAATCAATTTTAAACTCCAAGATTGTAACATTTCAAATACTTCTAGAATATTATTATTATTATTATTTTTTTTTGAGTCGCCTTTAACATATAGAACAAGATATTGTAGAGATCCATGGTGATTCATGTGTATTTGTTGGTTCAAATTCTCAGTCTTTAAAATGTTTTTATCATATGTATTTACTGTCACACAATTTTATGTAAGTTTTGAGAGTTATACATTTAAGTTATTTGGAGGTGGATTGTTTGCAATGGACCCATGTGGAAACTTGTTGACACTTGTGGACTTGGAAGTCAAAGTCAAAGCCCAGTAAATGTATAAGACAAAGTTTGCTTGGTTGGGTACAATGAACATAATATGTGTTGTGAGTGAACATCTATGTTGGCTTAATAGTCAATTGGTTGATGGTGAAATAATATGTTGGAGACTCATAAAACCTATCATCAATGAAAGTCAAACACAATAGTCAGCCTTTTCTTTATGTTGGTATATGTATTGGTCAAGAGCTCTCCTAGATTTGTCCATCAAAAAGGCTACCACCAAATGTTAGATTGGGCTCCATGGCCTCTATGTCACTAACAGCCTCTCCAATAGTTTGCTATAATAGATGTCAAAATTAAAATATGACAGTTTGGATTGAGTTAAGTTCCATGTTATAGTAGGTGTTAAATTTGACATTTGTTAAAATTTGTATTAAATTTGATATAAGTTTTGATAATGTCAAATTTGCCAGCTCAGTCAAAATCAACTGATTTCCTTCATTCCCTTCTTCTGTCTCTCTATTTTTCATCCATTCTCAAAAAAAATTCTCTCAAAAATAGATAAATTTTTTAAAAACAAAATTCACCATTTTTAAAATAAAATAAAATTCATCACCAAAACCTCCAAATTTTTTATTTTTTTTTTCAAACAAATTTCACCAAAATTTTGATAAATAGAATCAAACAACAACAACAACAACAACAATAACAACAACAATGTATGCACATACCAGATGTATCAAGTATTACACAAGGCGGTCATCAGATGACCTCAATAATTTAGAGTGGTCATCTTGGAAATGTCTTGATCTTGGTTGGAGTTGTGCCGAAATAGCTTTGTACCATTGAAACACTAATGTTATAATTTGACAATCTACTTGTAACATGTCAAATTATAATTTTGACAATTCTATAATTTCAATTATCATTGGACATGCTCTAAGATTGACATTGAGCCTTCAAGTCTCTTTATTACAATATTTTAAAGCTTAAAACGTTGAGTAAATTGTAAAAAAGACTAACCAAATTAAGAGTAAATGGTTCAATTTTCAACAACTGAATCCAACTATCACAAACAGTGATTGAAACCAGCTCAACTGATTAGTTATCATTGATCATCTTAGTGATTGGCTTTGGCATAAGTGCTTGGTGTGAACTTCATTTTTTAAAGATCTTGATGTGTTCTAAGGATAGAAGTTAATAAAAAATTGAGTGATGCTGGAGACCCCCAATGACTAGGCACCTCCAGCACCCCCCAGTGCCACATGGCACACTGCCAGTGGCTGAAGTCCAAAAAAAAAAAAAAAAAAAAAAATGTTTTCCAGCCAATCAACAAGGATCCCTAGCACTCCCACTGGGGTCCAACGCATTTTCCTAAAAAAAATAATTAAAAAAAAAGGTTTCTTATCTGAAATATATGCTAAAATCATTGAGACATCTGAAATGGATCGGGCTTACTTGGGACGTGGGCTAGAGTAAATTGTCTTGCAGCAACTTAGGCACTTTCTGTGTTTTGGGCCCAAACCTTCCCCAACCCTGGGCCCTTGACTACAAGAGTGTATGGAATTCTAACATTCCTTAGTTTGCTTGGTTGGGTACAATGAACATAATATGTGTTGTGAGTGAACATCTATGTTGGCTTAATAGTCAATTGGTTGATGGTGAAATAACATGTTGGAGTTGGAGACTCATAAAACCTATCATCAATGAAAGTCAAACACAACAGTCAGCCTTTTCTTTATGTTGGTATATGTATTGGTCAAGAGCTCTCCTGGATTTGTCCATCAAAAAGGCTACCACCAAATGTTAGATTGGGCTCCATGGCCTCTATGTCACTAACAGCCTCTCCAATAGTTTGCTATAACAGATGCCAAAATTAAAATATGACAGTTTGGATTGATTTAAGTTCCATGTTATAGTAGGTGTTAAATTTGACATTTGTTAAAATTTGTGTTAAATTTGATATAAGTTTTGATAATGTCAAATTTGCCAGCTCAGTCAAAATAAACTGATTTCCTTAATTCCCTTCTTCTCTCTCTCCATTTTTCATCCATTCTCAAAAAAATTCTCTCAAAAATAGATAAATTTTTTTAAAACAAAATTCACCATTTTTAAAATAAAATAAAATTCATCACCAAAACCTCCAAATTTTTTATTTTTTTTTCAAACAAATTTCACCAAAATTTTGATAAATAGAATCAAACAACAACAACAACAACAATGTATGCACATACCTTGTATCAAATATTACACAAGGCGGTCATCGGATGACCTCAATAATTTACAGTGGTCATCCTGGAAATGTCTTGATCTTGGTTGGGGTTGTGCCGAAACAGCTTTGTACCATTGAAACACTAATGTCATAATTTGACAAT